TGGGTAAAAAACTAAGTCTTCCTTGTGTGTGAATACAAAGTAAATCACTAATTTATTTTTATGTTAAAAAGTAACACTGGGAGCAGTATGAGAGGGGGACTGAGGGCAGGAAGGGAAATCCATTAAGAACCAACTGCAACAGTCCACGTAAATGACAACTGGAGAGAAGGCCTAAAAATGGCAGTAAGAATATCAAAACAGCAAGCTCAACAGAAGTCAGATGTGGGATGTGAGGGAGACAAAAGGGGAAAAATGAAAACAGTATGCAGAACTAATTGGATCGTAGATTAATTACAGAGAAAAGAGGTTTGAAGAATTGGGAAGAACATTCTTTCACCATTTAATAATCTGAGAATGAAAGTGCCAGTGGTACAAATGAAGTGGAGACATCCAATAGGTCCCAGGATATATGGATCTGGATCTAAGAAGAAGGGTCAGAGCTATGAAGATTAGGGAATCACTAAGAATATAGCTGGAAATTGAAATTGTGAGCATAAAGAAGATTGGCCAGAGAGTCCTTGTAAAGCAAATAGAGCAGGTGACATAGAATATTGGGGAACACCGATATTTACGGAGCAAGTAGTCAAATGGGAACATGTCAAGGAAGTAAGAAGAAGACGTGAGCGAAGTAGTAGAGGCAAAAAGACTACCATTGCAGACTCCAAGGAAGGAACTTAACATGGACAAAATAGATGTTGAAATAGTATGAGTAAAAAACAGCATCTGGATTGAAAATTAGCTATCTGTAGTAATGCCAATGGACATGCAGGGTAACTTGGAAATTGCCCATGGAAAGTGAGTATGAGGAGAAAGAAGTGACAGTAATTCTCTTTCAGTAATCAATCTGACATATTAAGAACACAGAGAGAAGGCTGGGGATGAGGCACAAGTGGTACAGTGCCTGCCTAGCAAGTGCGAGGCCTGAGTTCAAATCCCAGTACCATAATTAACTAATCAAAAATGCAAAGAGAAAATGCAACAACTGGTTTTTCTTGGGGTTTTGTTTTTAGTATGGGGTAAAGCTTGATCATGGCTGCAAGCTGAGCGAAAGGAGTTAATGAAGAAGGCAAGAGCTAAGATTCAAGTCTGAAGAATAAGCTGATTGAGCAGGTCTTCAAAATGGTGCATATGTCATGCCATTGGGAAGGTGAACAGGAATTCTTCTGAAACTAGAAGAGGGAGGAGAAAGAGAAGAAGTTGTCTAAGATAGTTAGATTAGCTTAGTAATGGTGGGAGGGCAGCTGAGAGTCCAAAACACTCACCACTATTTTTTGCAGCAGAGTACGAAGTTAACTACCTGCTCAGAATGAATGTTCAGGAATGGGGTGCAAAACCCCAGAAGCTGCTAAGATAAATGAAGCAAAGCTCCTGAGGAAAGACACCTGCCAGAAATGAATCCTACCAGTTTCTCCCTCGGAAGTAGCCCCTGGCATGAAGAATTGGATTCTTGGACTGATTCAAGTTAGGTACCAAAAGGAAGATCTTGTCAGATCTCTATTCAGTGGAGGCTGAAATAAAAGTTTAGCGTACAATGGGCTGTCCCCAAATTACTCACTGTTGACTCAAAGTAACCTTCCCATAGCATTTAAAGGTTTCCTTATAAGAATGGAAGTGGTCAGCCTAGAACTCAGCGGGTAGAGCAGTTTAAAGTCTTTGACAACCAGGATTATGTCCTTATGAAGAACCTCGAGTACATTAAGTACCACTGAGCCATAAAAACAACAACTCTTCTTCTGCAAACTCCACCATAAATTACTAAAAGGCATACAATCTGAAATTTGTTTACATGCCCAAGAGAACCTTGCAAAGAGCTCGCAATGTAACACCGGCTCACATTTGCTTAAAATAAAGCAACACGGACAGATCTTGAACTTGCCAAACCCCTTGCCTTGCCTTTTAACCTATCAGTGTGACAGTCAAGTACATTAATTCTCCCAATCTAAACATCAAATCCTGGGCTTGAGCAGATTCTTAATCTTATGGAACTGCTCTATGGGTCTGGAATGAAGTATTCAGAAGAAGGTGGAGCTTCTAGTTCCTGTTTCAATTTCATGTAACCACAAAAAGGGAAAATCTAGGCATTGTTGTTTAATCTGATATCAGAATAAGATTTCCTGGATACTATATATTTTCTATGTTAGTACTACAAGGAGTTTAGCAAAACTGATCCTATACTATATTATTCTTGTTATTTATCGTAGAATAAATACCTGCTGTAATACATAAACTGAAAGTAACTTTATGATAACCCAAAGGTGTACTATATTAGGTTGAGACATAAGATATAAAATGTACAAATGTATCTTATATAAAAAGCTATGACAACAAAAACATAAAAGACAAAGATAGGTAAAGTGGTTGTCTGAAAATTACATCAAAGAACATTATTTTATTAAAAACAATGACTTCACCAACTATAGGTGAATTCACTTTAAAGAATACAGACTGTTTTGATAAAATAAGTGATTATTTTGTACTTAAAATATTTATCAAAGAGTGGGGGAGGGACACCTGTTTTTCATCTTTAGAACCTGGCCTTTCAACTCTCCCTTTACACCTCCAAGGCAAAGATAAGACATCCCTGAAACAGGGATGACAGCAATGGCAGCATGAGCTAGTGTCCTAATAGCAGGCATTTAATGCAAGGCTCTAAACACACTGCCTCCAGACTGCTGGGATGGCCTCATAAACAAGGACATTTAAATAGGCATTTACTCCCTTAAAATGGCAACTTGGGTTTAAAAATAATATATTCCTTAGGAGAAAGAAAACACTTTCATTTAAACAAGTCAAATTACTACAATATTTAGACAATAAAATTTTTTTGTAAAAATCAATCATTTTACTATGCCTGATTTTAAGAAGTTACTGTGAATAAAGAAAAATTATCCAACCATTAAATACGGCTCATATATATCACTGACATTATTTATGTAAGGTTCTATTTACTAGTTAGTGACTACCACTAAAATTGTTGATGTGTTTTTAAACCAAGTATAATTGGACATGGCTATTCATTTTGTATCTTGTAAACCATTACAGGAGGCTGCAGTCTGCCTTTCATTGGCTGTAAAGGGTATTTGAGATACCTTCCTTTCCACAAAAGTCATGAAACTGTAAAGGTTACCAAGTAATGACCACTGACCACTAGTTTCATTATAAACGAAACTGAAAGCAAAACCAAACTGCAGTACAAATGAATGTACAAATCAAGACTTTCTTACTCACTCGAGATTTTCAATTCCATCTCCCAAATCTCTTGGATTATAAGTACATATGTTCTGAGACTGTTAACATGTTTCCATACATGTTCTTTTGAAGCTACTAAACATATACAAAATTCCATTTTATCTTATGACAATTATCACTTTCTGTTTTATATTCAACACCCAACACAACTCAAATGCATAATGTCTGTTTTTTAGGTTAATAGCTACAATAATATATTACAAATTCTGAATTCTTTAGGGATTCAAATGCATTAATATTATACAAAAAGGAGTGTTAATTAAACGTGACCTTAACTGTAACTAAAGAAGGCCTAACAGACTTCCTATGTACCATCCCAACATCTTAAAAAAAAAAAATTACATGAAAACAGGGCCCCTATTTTAAAAATAGTACATGGTTTACACTTTATACTGTCCCAACAAGCTTTGATATCCGAAGTAGTGATATTTTATTTCACATTTACATCTGGCTCACATGAACACTGTCTGATTACACAACAGATATGTAAAAGCTGCATTATTTTAGCTATAATGGTAGTAATGGCAACAAGCATACTAAAGATGTAGACAGAAACACCAAACATCATTTAGATAACAGAATCTTGATTATTAACAGCTCAAGATCCAGGATGCCTGGAGAGAGGACAGGAGTAAGCAGGGCTTATGAGCATCTTGTAAATAGCTCCAAGATATATAAACCTTTATGCACGGCATGCTGAGGCTAACAATTACCTTAACATCAAATTAGTTTAGCATTCTGGGATAAACGTAACCAATGCTGTTACTTCTGCTCAAACTCAATTGGGAATCTTAGTAAAAGTTCACAAAGGGCTCTATAGATAAAAAAGTGTGACAGGCACTATAGAGCCATGACAATTCCTATTCCCTCCTCAGTTTGTACGGAGGAAGAACGCGTTTTTAAAAAGCAAAATGTATTCCAAAAGCTGTGAGTAGGGGACATCTTTGCCATGAAAAGACACCAAAACCCACTGTTGCACATGTATTCTGTCTTGAGTATAAGTCCTCATATTTCAGACGAAATCCTGAGAACTTGTAAAACGTTCCCCCCAAATAAAGTGGGAAAACTTCAACCTACAATTTGTAATATACTGAAGTGCTGATAAAGTATGGGGGGGGGGGTCACAAGAGTTTCCAGAAAGCTTATTTTTACAATTAACCATAAAAACAAAAATACATGGCCAGAAGATTCTTCTGATAAAAGGTGGGTCAGAATGAAAGTTGTGTCCTTCCCATCCGATGCTCAAGCAGTAGAGCAAAAACCCTTCACCAAAATGCGCACTTTCATCACAAGAGGCCCGGGCCCTACCATTCTCCCAGCTTCATCCCCAAATGCGTGCAAGCACTGAAAAAGGAGAGGGGTGCGAAACAAGGGGGTGCGTGGCAGCTGCCACCCCCTCGCCTCCGGTCTCGCCCTCGATTTCTTTACAGTTTAGGTTTCCAGGAGTTGCGCGGTTTCCAGGCTTCATCTATGTGTGCTTTCTGAGGTTCAGATGGGGTGAAGGAGATGAACCCGGCTCTCCCAAGGGGGAAGAGGAAGAAGAGAGAAAGGAGGGAAGGAAGGGGGCGCCCGATTACCCGCAGGGCCCTCCCACGTCTCCACTCCGGGCGCGCAGGGCCCGCGCACCCCGAGCCCCGGCCACCCTCTCTGGGGCGCCGCCTGGCCGGCGGGGGCGCAGCCCACACGCTGCGGGGCCGCCCGCGGGGAGCGCGGAGCACCCGCCTCAGGGCTGGGAGCCCAGAACCACTCACCGCAGCACGCCGAGCCCAGCAACAGCGCCGCCACCAAAGGCCACATCTCCGCGCCGCCGGGGGTCGCCGCCGCCGCCGCCGCAGGTGTCTAGAGCAGCTGCCGCCTCCACAGCCTTTACAGCAAGGACGGGCTGCCGCCGCCGCCGCCGCTGCAGTTCCAGGCAGGAGCTGCCGCCCAGGCTTCCCGGCCGCGCGCACGCTCGTTCCCGCGCCCACGCCCGTCCCCCCCCGCCCTCACGAGCCGCGCACGCGCACTCGACTGCGCCTCGCCGCCTCGGCTGTTGACGCGGCGCCTTCCCCACTCGCCCGCTCCAGTGCGGCTCCCGCGCGCTACGTGGAGGCCCCCCCAGCCTGCTACAGGGCTGGATTTCGTGCCAGGCTTCCTCGTCACGTCCCACCGCCTCAGGGTCCGTGTTCTCGGGTGCCACAGGAGACTGAGCGTGCGTCCCCCCAGCCCCCTTCGGGGACCTACCCGCGGTTCCCTTCCCGCCTCTCGCACAGCCCCGGGGCCCCTGGCCTCTCATTTCCTCACCTGCTTTCACGGCAACCTCCCGCGCTTCACGGTGCTCTCGGAGCCCCGCCCCGCACCAGCCCCTGTCCTCCCTCTTCTCCTAGCGTCTAGATCTGCATGCTTCTGTCTTCTCACCTGCACCCCTCTTCAGCTAAGCTCACTGTGCCCCAGGGCGCGCCCCCATCTCCACGCTTCCTGCGAGGTCACTGAGTCCCAGGGCGCCAAGCCCAGGGCAGGGCAGTGGCTGGGTCCCTGCCCGCAGGGAGCTTCCACCCCACTGGTCCCTGGTGGACTCTGTGCCCTGCTCCGTCGCGGTTCTTTTTCATCTTTGTTACTTTGCTTTGGTGTTTTCATCCACTTAACAGAGTTTAATCAAACTCCGTTAGTGATGGTGAACATTGTTACACGTGGCGAACACGGAGATCCAGGGACTATCAGGCATTGTCACAAACAGGACTTACAGAGTAGACGGATTCAAGACCCCCTACCAACAGTGTTGTGGAGCCTGGTTTGTGCCCACACCATGTGCAGACCTCTATGCTGTGTTTTGGTTTAACGTGCTTGAAAAATGGGCTCAAAATGAGACTCCGAGCCACAGTGTGGACAAAGCCTTTGAATGTATGGCTGAATCACCCAGGCCACATCACACATCCTGACGCAAAAGCCCTTTTTTAAAGCTGCCTTTCACATTTATCCTGAATGACGAACTCTCTTGTCAAAAAGGCAGGCTCTGGTGGCTGGGCTAATGGGGTGCAAATCCTGTCCACTCTCTTGGTTGTTTTTCTCTTACCTGCTGGAAAAGAAAGCAATTCCCCACCGAAATTTCCCACTTCTCCAAATTCTTTACCAAAGAGTCTCCTCCCAAATGATTCGTGAGGAGGGCCAAATGATTCGTGCTCAGGGTCAGTGGAGGAATGACAAGCCTGGATGACAAGTGAGTGGCAGGCAGAAAAGTTTATTAAAGAAAGACCGAACACCCCCGCAAGTGGGACTCATTAAGACTGAGCTGCTTGTGGATCCTTTGGTTGGGAGTTATATATAGATTCTCCTTCCCCCGATGAAGGGAAGCCCACTGTGTCCCAATACCATTGGCTTGTTGAAATGGCCCACCATGTATGCTTTTTTTGGCCTGTTTCTGATTGGTCCTGCAGTTCAGTCATGTGTGGTCTGCAGGCTGCAGATTCTAAGATGCCTAGAGTGGTTTCAGGATTCTTCACGCCCCATTTCTTCCTTGGGCCATAGTTTCAAATTCCCCATGCAGTTTATCTTGCCTCTGGGTCATGGACACAATTCCATGGACTCCCCTATCCCTAATCTAACCTGCCTAGAAAGTCCCTGCCCCCTAATTTCCAGTCTCAATCCTGGCTCTGAAAAGGTAACCCTAATTGCTATTAGGGGAACAGGGGAGACTACCGATCAGTCTGCCTCTTGCTGGTGGGGGGCATCAGATGTGGCATTCAGGGGAACACTTAAGAGCAGGGCCTGTCTAGGTCCTTCATAGATGTCCCTAGAGGCCCTCATCAGAGGCTGCATTTTCATCACCATTTGTATCTTCATTGATTCTAGGCAAGAGGAGACAAGACTTATGATTAGATTTAACAAACAAGGACCAAAAATGAGGAGTAGTATAATGATGAGGGGGCCAAAAAAAGGGAGTATCCAGGTAAAGAGACTGTTGCCTATGGAGTAGAATAGATTGTGGAGCCAGCCACCCTGGAATCCAGCTTTTTCCTTTAAGTTTGTCTGTTAGGTGTATGTTGGCTTTGATCTTTTTCAGGTTTTCTTCAACTATTCCAGATGTATTTGTATACATGCAACATGTTTCATTTAACATGGCACATAGACCCCCTGTGGCTGCAGTAAGAATATCTAGACCTCTCTGATTTAGTAATTGTACTTCAGCCAAAGAGTTTAGACTCTTCTGTTGGGCCTCAAGTGCATTTTAGCCTTCCAGGATTCATGGACTATTATAGTCAGATTTAATGCAGATTTTTCTAATGGGGGAATTCCAGCAAACCAGAAGAGTTCCCTAAGAATGGTATCTCCTTTCTCAGGCCTTTCTAATACGGGGTTATGATGGTCATGGCCATCCCAGACCCAGTTGCTGAGGTTGGTAATAAGGAGAAGACCTCTGTGTTTTCAGGACTTAAGCCTGGTCAAAGTAAGTGATTATTCTAAAAAGGAGCCCATGTTAGGAATTAATCCTGAGTATGTTATCTTGTAAGCTTTGTGATAGACAACGTGTGAGAGAGTGGCTGCTATCACACAGTTACCCCTCCAGAGTCTAGGGAGAACAAAGTACATGTGATCCCTGCACAGGAAACTAAATCTGGTTCCCCTCAGGTCTACCTCAGTGGTAACTCCTAAAATCCAGGCCCCTGTATAACCTGTGTTGATAAACAGTTCCTTAGTATCTTTTACATGTACTCAGTCCACTTCTTCCTTGACTATCTGGTTCCTTACCAGTGGGTTGTTCAGACTCTGAGTCTCCCCCTTTGTTCATTTATAACAAGGAGGAAAAAGCTTTTTCTTTAGGGTTGTGAGTACACTGAGGGCTTTGGCATAGCAAAATGAGTTGAATAATGTTTTTAGGTATCTGGAGAGGCTGGTTGTGGTGTGTGAGGTTGAGGAGCAAGCCAGTGGATTGACCAATTCCAACAAATTTCCTTTCTGTATAGGAACTATTAATATGGAAGAAGGCCTCATTGTGGTAGGTGTTAGAGGCGTTTTGTGTCTACCCTCCCCAAGAAAGATCTACCATGGAGTAATGGATTTTTTTGGGGGGAGGCTGTATTTATGAGGATCCATTTTGATGCCAAAGTTGATTGATTAAAAATCAAGGTAGGTTGCAAAAAGATATGTTGAGGACACTCAGGTCCTAATCCCCACAAATTGTAAAAGCATAAAGAGGGTGGGCCCTCTAGCCTGGACACTTGTCCAATGGGCATAACTTACCAAGAAGATTCTTTACTTCTGTTTTAATATTATTGGCTTTGGTTTGGGGAGTAGTATAGGGTAAGATGTTAAACCCATGTATTTAGCCTGAATGATTAGATGGGTTTCAATAGAGGCAGGCAGCACCACTAAAGGGGTAATCCTCTATTTCCCTTTCTATTCTGGAGCACACCCAGCAATCTATTTTATTTATCAATTGGGAAAGTTTTTATAGAGTAGGTGCCCAAGGATGGGGATGGCAAGAGGATATACTATCCTGAGTTATTAGGAAGATTATTAAATGGAGTATGAAGTAGTTAATCTTAGTCCAAAGGGAGCTTATAAAGAATTTAGATGTAAAGGAGAGTCTAGTATAATGGCAATAGAGTAAAAGGAAAAGCAAAGGAGTCTGTTTGTGATTGTCCATTTGGGAGGTGCTACAATATAGGCCTATCCCAGAAACATCTATTACAGCTATTCCAATGACAGAGTCCAGAGGAGCCCAGGCATCACTTATCTGGAAGGGTTGAGGTCCTCTTGAAGAGTAGTTTGAGCTCCTCCAGAGGTTTCCAAGAGTAGGAGTCAGGAGCCAGTTCGGGTTTGGTATCCTTCTGATGTCATGGTTTGACTCAAAAGTGATGAAAAGCCAAGAGTCTATTCCATTTATTTTTATGGCCAAGGAGCACTATATAAAGTCCATTCCACACAGGATCTTGGGGAGGAGCCAGAGAAGGTAGTGATATAACCAGTACTAAGTATCCATGGTTGTAATCAGGGACTTATTTTCTTTGGAGGGCCCCTGATACCTACTATAAGGTCTACTGAAACCCAGAGAGAGAGAGAAACATGCTTCATGAGATTGAAGTTTCTTTGTCAAAGAAACTTTGTCAGAGATCATTGGTTAAGAAGGGACAACCATACAATAGTTCATAGGGGCTAAGACCTAAATTTTGGGGAGTGTTATGGATTCGGTTAGTGACATAGACAACAAAATAGGATAAGGTAAGTGAGTTTCCTGAGATAACTTTTGGAGGTATCTTTTGAGCATGCCATTGGCCTTCTTTACTTTTCCTGAGGTCTCTAAGCACAGTACAGGTAATATTGTATCCCCGGGGCCTTGGGTGTTCCCTGTGTAACAACTACCTGGAAGAAGAGATCATTATCACTCTGTAGGCTCCTTGAGAGCACAAGACAAGAAACAGTGTTATATATTAGGGTTTTTACTGCTATTACCCATTCAGAATGGCAGAGAAAAGCGTCTACACAGATGATAAAGGGTCTGTCCAAACCAGGAGGTATTGTACTCCCCCAGATTTAGGCATATGGGAAAGTCTATTTGCCAGTCCTGTCTGGAATAATGGCCCATATATTGGATTCCTGGAGGAGCTACTCTGTGATTGGGAGGGTTATTTGTGACAGTTTTCACAGGATTGGATCACCTGCCTGACTGTTTTTAGGATCTCCTGCACAAAGAAAAGCCTCTGTGCCATCTAGTAAGTCTTATCTATTCCTAAATGGAAGGCCTAGTGGAGGGTTTTTAGGATTTTTCCACTGATTAGCGGCAGGGATAAGTAGCTTCCCTTCCTCTGATTGAAACATCCTGACTGATGGAGAACATAGCCATGGTCCAATGCCTGTTTGGTCTCTTCTTGAATATATTGAGACTTA